TTCACGGCGCCACCAACGGCGGAAAAAGAAAGCAAGCCCTGCCACTGAGCCGGGACTGGTGACCTGCTGCAGGTGGGGCACCACGGACACTCTTCCGGCTGCACCTCAGGACGAAAAGCCGCCGTACTCAGACCCCAGTGCACGTCTCAGCACCTTGGACGTATTAAAAGCCCCAGTCCCACCGCCCCTTCCCACGCCCTGTGGGGTTCATGAGACCAAGCATTGCCCTTTCCTTTCCTGACTCTGACGCCACAAGTAGTGGAGTGCAAGTCGCCGGGCACACAGACAAACGTTGCTTTCGTCACCCTGACTGTAAGAACTCATTCTCTTCCCACGGCGACCCCTCTTTGGGAAACGCAGTCTCTTCAAACTCCCTCCTCCAGCCTCACCCCTGGCCTTGAAGCCCAAGATCTGCCGACGGGTGTGAAGCACAGTTCCCTGGAGCTTATGTAAGAGCTCCTGGCAGGCCTTGCAGAAGACGGCAGCAGGCTGACTCTCCGCACACTCACACTTGCCTCGTCTACTCATGTGACTCTTCTCTCTCAGAGCAGGGAGGCCTGTGTGCTCCCACCGGTCGTTCTGGAGCACGGCCGAGGGAGCCCAATGTCTCCTCCCACTTCTCAGTGATGAAAACGGACACGGCCTCGGGGCCAGCAGGTGGTGTGAAGGTTACAGAACTGGATCCCAGGCTGACTATGTAGTTCGAGTCCCAGACCTGGCCGCCAGAAAATCATGCCAGGCACGCGTGCATGTGTGCCCAAACTCCTGAGAGGAGGATGGAGAAGAAGGGACTGTGGTGTGGCCATCCCCTCTAGGCCGGTGGGTGGGAGGAGATGATTTCTCACTTTCCCTCTCTCTGTCTCTCTCTGTCTCTCTCCAGCGAGTGCATGAGCCCTACCTCAAAACAAACAAAAATCAGCACAATTTCCTGAGGGGAAAAATAAGAATCCAAAAGACAAAGCTCACTTAAATGTGCTGAGCCTCCTTTGGAGGGGCAGCGCCCCTTCACTCGGCTACTCTTCATGACGAGACCATACTGCTCTGGTCACCACAGAGAAGCAAAGAGAGAATAGAGTGGAATCACGGCCGGGCAGGACCCGGGGCAAAGGGAGAGACGAAAAGGATGGAAAGTCCCAGCTTCTCCCAAAAGAAGAAACGAAAGATGTCCTCTGAAGTCTGTCACATGGCCCCGAAGGCAGGTTCTCTGCAGAAAGTTGGTTCTGCCTCCAACTGACTTGAAGAGAGGCCCGTCCATTCCCAGACTCCATTTTCTTGAAGGAGGAGAGGAGAAACGACCAGAAAGTGCATTCAACTCAGAGGAGTGAGAACAGAGAAAAGGCGAGGACAGGCCACGGGCCCCCTCTCCGAGCTGAGTGGGGATCTCACGTGACTCCCAAGAGAAAGGACGGTTCTTTGTCAGAACTCAGTTCCTCCCCTGCGGCTGCGAAAAGTAAGGGGCAGGAA